TTAGCTAGTGAGACTCAAGCGATTTTACTGCAGCACGAAAGATTGTAAAAACGTGTGGTCGCGCGGACCCGCCTGGTGCGCATCACCAGTGCTCATAAATATGCAAGAGCGTATGAAAAAGTAATGACGCAACTAGGCTAATCGGTGCGATTATGAGTTTTTATACCATACTTGAAGCAGTCAGGTAATTAATAGTATGAGTGAAGGAAAATGAATTGTTTCCAGTAGCTGGTTGTTCATTAAAAATGACCTTATTGTTTTGTTTTTCGGATAACCCATATTCCCGTCAAAAATTTCACCTTCCCATAAGTGACAGCCAAGCTTGCTTAAGAACTGAATTTGGAGTTTTTAAACAGTACTTGGGTGAAGAGAACCTGCTTGATATTTCAGATCGTTAACCTTTCTAGCTCCCAAGTTAGTAATTTTCCTGTCTTAACTTGGTATTTCCGTATGTGGGGCTTGAGTATGCGCGAGAGCTGGATTCACGTTTCTAAGGTAGTTCTTGACCAGCGATTTCACTGACAAAGTTTCGGCACCAAAACTTATCTAGTTAACGACTTGAAATACCTGAGCAAGCACGTGCACATGTGCACACACACACTCACGCACACACATACACAGGCAAACATGCACTCACGCACACCATCAGTCGTCAAGTCAAAATTTTGTGAAGTGTGTGTGGGGTGTATGTGTGTGTGTGTTTGCGCCGGAAGGTGAAATATGGAAGTGTGTGGTATCTTGAAATTTTATATAAATATCACAGATACAGCAAAACGCAAATCCAAATGAAAATATACGGCAAAGACTTCAGTTAAAAGGCACGAGAAATAAATGACTGACCAAACACAGTTTTGTATAAAACGACCTTCGGAGAAAAATACGACTAATACAAGATGAGGCGATGCCCTTCGGGAAGGCGCAACTATTGACGAACGGTGAGTGGGACCTCAACCGATAAGCGGGACTGCTTTTATAGAGTAGGGATTTTACTAGCGCTGAAATGCGCACTGTTATCGTAGCAGATCTTAACTGGACATTAGCAAGCGTTATCGGGGCTTCGGGATCTCCGCGGTTGGCTAATGCGTCTCTGGGAAGACTTTGATGGGGATATCAGGGCTAGGGATCTGGGAATGGATCGCGACTAATATTTTGTTTTTTTTTTTACTTTTTTCTCCTTTCTCTTTTTTTGAATTCTTGAATAAAATATTTTATTTTGAAATGTGTTTCTAAACCTTACACTTCTTGAGTGAAAAAGGGGGAATTTAAGTTCTCCTTTACTGTTACAGTATGCGTTATTGCATTTGTATAAATACGCAATAAAATCGCATAAAAATCTTTAAATCTTGCTCTGTTTTTACGAAATTAGTCTATATTTGGATCTGAAGTTGTAGATTAGGGCGCTTAAATTGCATTTCAGGCCTACTGTAGTCCTGTTTTTCACGGGTTTATTTCACACAGTTTTAATATTATGGCTTTTTTGGTCGTTGGGTTTTGTGAATCAGGGCAAACTTTAGCTTATTGTTCTAAATCGGAACACGCTGAAATTTGTATGTTGATTTTTACGCTTAAGATCTTACAAAGTTGAAGCTGTGACACTCCCCTCTCCCTTCCGGCTGAGAATATAAGTTTCCTAGCTTTTGCGTCTCGGATCTGAGATTATCTAAAAATAGATAAGACCACCCCGTGACCAATCTGAACATGTATAAATGCAATGTCTACAATACTTTGAAACAGGCGACTTCTGTGAGCATAAGATTTATGTAGCGTTTTACTGTGTGATTCACCAGTGTAAACATCCGCTCTGGTGAATTATTGGTTTGTTGCGCTTTTTTCCCGAACAATATTTGGACGCAACGAAATTTCGCTAATAAAATAGCGCTGACCATCCGACCCTTTCAGCAAGCAACGCCTGCAGATGATCTCGTTGTCGATGAAGCACCTAACCTTAAGGCAAACATACAGACACGTGCAGGCACACAACATGCCTACACACACAAACAAACAAACAAACACACAGCACTGATAACAGCTGCTCGGGATGAGGAAATCTAAGCGATGTGAGCGTCTGCTGGAGAGGTTAGGCTGGGCGGAACGTATGCGGCACCAGCACATCCCGGTAATTTTATCCCTGTTCGTTGCGTATTTAAGATCTCAAATTTTAGCATGATGCGGAAGAGTGAGCCTAACACTCGGTTCCTGTCCACACCCATCCACCCGCTGAACCATATCT